ATTCAGGAGTAATAAACTTAACATCAGACGCTATAATTTAGGATAAAATTGTTTTAAGTACCCCGCTCTCATACCGAACTCTTTAAACAAATCAGCAATTAATGCCTAATTGTTAAAACTGTTAACTATAAAAGAAAAAAAAATATGAAACACAGTAGAGATAGTTTTAAATAATTGGTAAACAATAAACTATGATCATTCTGTTTTCCTTCTTGCATCAGTAACGAACGAATCGAGAGACGAAGCAACTGGACCCGAGCCAGAAAAGCGTCAAGATGCAGGAGTTGACGAGGAGAGCAAACAAAAAGGAGCGGCATCAACCGAGGAAGAGAAACTGAAAAAAGAACAAGTTGGTGATCAAGACAAACCTCGGCTTATTTGGTAAAACATGATTAAAGGCTGCTTTATTTACCGCATCTGGTATTGGCATCATTACACAAGCAAACATGGTTCATCAATTTGGGCATTGCATACAACTAAAAATGCGAATTACAACTATTTCTTGGGCCTTATAATACAAACCTCCATTCTACCAGTTTCAGATACGTGGTACTTCAGGTCTTTATACGAAGTCACCTCCGACATAAATCGACGACAATGTGTTTGCAACTAAATCCAGAGACATCCGTCTCGACCTTGAAAGAAATAATACACGAGAAAATCAGTGTCGATCCTCAACAACAGCGACTTTACATCCGAAGGAACTTTCGTAATTTTGAGGTAAAGATGGTTCCATATTTTACAAACGAAGCAAGTACCAATCAACAGTGCATCGAATTAAAGACCATGTGAGATTTAGTGACAACCTGTTATGATTCAAATTACATCAGTCGTGTGCATTAAATTAGTAACAAAAAGAGAGTCGGTTTTTGACACCACCAATTGAGTCTCATGATATACATGTTATGGAACTACGGCAGAAAAGTTAAATTTATAACTAATTAGTTTATCTGGCTTTTGAAATTCCAAGCACCAAATTTTATATCTTTCGTTTCAAAAGTGTGTGTTTAATCAAAACTTTTTTATTTAAGCTCTCTAACTTGCTGACACTTCACGACTGTGGAATTCATCAGGACGAGAACATCTCACTCCGTCTGTGCACTGATGGCCTACTGGGCGGTGGACCAAAAGGTAAATGGTTATGGGAAACATTATTTTTTTTGGATTGGAAAGCCCACGGCTTTATACCTTACAAAGCTGGGGAACAGGTATTTGTAGTTAAAGAACAATCTAACTTAATGCACCGCCTCCTCGTCCTATTCCGATGCCATCTCTCACTATTTCCACTCCCGAAAATGTAAACAATTCGATAAAAATTAGCACAGATATTTTATACCATCTGAAAGAAATCAAATTAATATTTTCTTTTTTTTCAACCAAAGTTTAATGGCTTAAGTTTATTGCCTATCATTCAAAAAATGCAGCATCCAATTACATACTGATATACCTACGAAAAAGCTTGTTTCGTTTGGCAGACAAACACCATGTTGATGAAAAATTCTTTCGGGACTTGGCTTCGAAAACTGAATCATGCTGGGAGAAATTGGCCAAACACCTGAAATATGAAGAAGCAGAAATCAAGCAAATCCAAACCACCTTCACAGACAACAAAGAAAGGAGCCTGCAGATGCTGCTTACTTGGTGGAGAAAGCAAACAAATCGCGAGCAAGGATTCCAAAGTTTGCGAGATGCAATAAATTCAATCGGCCTTGCTGAGCTGGCCTTAATGATACCATCGGATGCACAACAGAGGACGGAACAAGCAGAACTTGGTGATAAACGTCCGCCAGAGTTTCAAGAGGGAGCGGCTAAAGGACAGAGCAAGCAGAAAGGGACTTCATCATCTGAGGGACAGAGGCCGAGACAAGAGAAAGTCACGCATCGAGACAAAGCTCGACCCGAGGTTCAAGAGAGCCAGGCTACCGAACAAAGCAAGCAGAAAGGTAATTCATCAAAAGTCTCTTTTTCTGGGTTTCTTTTGCGTGCAAACAAATCCAGTCTGCATGTAGACGTGTGCACTAGTTATTCCAATGTAAAGAATCGATTACATGTTGTCGGGCTGCAAAGAAATTCAAATTTTTAAAAGTAATTATGCAATGAACATGCGATTTCTAAACTAATTTGTGTTCCACAAGCTGAACTGTAACCTAAGCCACGGTTTGATGCGAACGTTAGACGAATGTAATCAATAAAATTATTATTTATCAATCATCATCAAATATAATAGTTTAAAGTTTACCGATATTTGCCTCAGATCCAGTTGGTATTGCACAACGAGATCACGGTAGACAGGGAAACGACGACATCCCCACGTCAACGGCGCCGGCTGGAGATCACAAAACATCTGAACAAGAACAACAAGAAACTACAAAGATGAGGGCACCATCTGAGCAGTTTACCCGGACAGAGATTGCCAGAGACTTAAATAATCCTACATCACACCGAGAAGGTGACATCACGGCCTTTACGGAGAATACGGAGCAAGCGGTGAAGACATCACATGATGGAAAAATAGAGCAGGAGATTGGTAAACCAGGCATTACTCAGGAGCAGATCACTGCTCTACCTGAGGCTCAAGTGACTGGGGCAACAGCACGTGAATCTCTCTTCGACGAACGCGGGGCAGAGGCACAGAATCAAAGTGCGCAGCAACATACGGTCAACATTGATGGGAGAAATAACACTACCATTATTGGAAATGTCACAATCTATCAGAATGTAAAAGGTAAATATTAAAAACAAAACAAATGCATCGAGTCAACTATAGTCAATTATAAACAAGAAATTGCTGAAAGCAAAACCAGGGACTTCACTAAGAAGGGTGGACATTACGAAACTGAAAATGATTCAGGAATGTATTCAAAACAAGAAATACTCTTTTTTTTCTAAAAAAGAGTTAAGTTTGAAATATGTATAACTGTAAAAGATAATCCTCCGGTTGCATTATAAACTTGAATCCCTATTGGAATTAATTGGACCCAAAAAGTTGCGATGTCCCGTTTTCTGGATGAGCATACACAACACACTTTCATGAAAATTTCATTAAGCGTAATCTGAGCTTGCACAAGCTAACACATTTTGCTTCAAACCGCAGGTCTTAGGCATGAAGGCTCCATCTTCCTGTTGAAACATGAAATACAAACAGGTGATATAAAATGCTTGCTTCTGTTTAATATTAATACAGGAGGACGGAAGAAAAACGGAAAGAGAACCCGTCGAATGGCCTTTAAGACTCAACAAGAGGTTGAAAGCGGAGGGGCAAAAGAAAAGAGCAGGCAGAAGCGGACTCCATCAATTGAGGACCAGAGACCGAGACGAGAGGAAGTTGGTCTTCCAGACAAATCTAAACAAGAGTTACAATTGGGAGTGCTTAAAGAAGGTGGTAGGCAGAGAGGGACACCTTCAATTGAGGACCAGGGGCCTAGGCGGGACGAAGTTGATCATCGAGACAAAGCTAAGCCAGCGAAACAAGTGGGAGTGGCTGAGGCCGAAAGCAGTCCAGGTAAGTAATGAACAAAAAATCCAGTATGTCGTATTTATCTCCCGCTTGCTATTTTCATTCAACTGCTTTCCCCTCTCAATTACAAATTATCAAATTGTGTTAAATATATTGACTTTCAACACATTTTTCTCGTTTTCTCTCACAAGATTTTTAAAATAGATTATGTTACAGATAAAAGCCACATGAGTTCTAGTTTTGGGCGGCGGCAACCCCCAGGAAAAGGCTATAATTCTTAGTTCCTTTTGCGACAACTTTCTTTCCTCATTATTATACCTCTTACAGCAATGAGGACCTCAAAGTAAACTGTACGCGCTTTACTTATAGATACATGTCTTTTTATTTGTATTTAGATACTCTACCTGAGGACATCTCCGTTTTGAATCTGTCTCAGAAGATTGGAGCCCACTGGAAAAGCTTGGCCTTATTCTTGAAATTTTCTAGAGAAGATGTTCAACAAATTAAGGCGAATTTTTCCAACAGTGTAGCAAACCAGTGCTTTAAGATGTTAATTAGTTGGTGGAGAAAGCAGACAAATTACACAGAAGCAAAACAAACATTGAGGAAGGCTCTGATTGATTCGGGCAGGAGCGACTTGCTTCGGGTCACATCAGGTATGCTAAGTTACTAAAGAAGTATGACAAATTTACAAGTACCTTTATATACGCAGATGAATTAGGCCCTACAATTTGACAAAGTAACGCAGCCTTACCTAGTTTAAAATTCTAATGACAAGTGAAAAATCCATTGGTTACTCATCAGGAAAATCCTCTGATGTTATGATATTAATTGTAGAATGAGGTGGAAAGCAATCTTGTGACGGGATTTTGAACGATAAGTAATTGTACGCTGTAAAAAAGGACAAGATTTGGAAAAGCTTTAAGTATTATCTTGGTTTCTATAATGATCCTGTAGCAACACTATCAGGCAGTTTGATAATGAAAGTTACATGGAACCACCACAGAGTACATATATTAGACCACGCTTCTAGTCTTTTGATTTTCATATATTTTTAACAGCCAAGTTAGTACCTGAACCTGAAGTCTACCAAATGCTACTTTTAATACAGCACTTACTTAAACTGGGATATAACATACATGCAACATGACTTTATGAAATCATGCCCACGCCTTCTGAAGTCGAGCGCATATTAGGCCTACGCATGATGTGAAACTACAGATTGGGAAAAGTATTCACCAAGAGCATTGGACGAACAAAAGGAGTTCACTATATTGCAGAACCACTGGCCGAAAAAAAAGTTTAGCAAAAGAGACGAGGCAAACCATAAAATACCGTTACAAAAAATCAAAGGAAAGAGAGAAATTATGAACCCTTTTCACGTCATCGCCGCTGCAAAACACACAATGCACACCTGATTTGTTTTGGAGGGAAATTCAGTCTGGGTACCATTTCGCTATACTGACAGTCACCATTGTCTCAGTAACGAAGGCGTGTGCATATTTCTCATGATGCACCTTAACACTTCGCAGGATCTTACGATTTGTTCTGCCTGAAAAAATCCGAGGAGATAGGAGCTCGTTGGGTAGCATTGGCCAAAACATTGGCATTTACAACCGGAGAAATTGAAATAATTCAGCATGATTACCGATGCAGCGTTGTAAAGCAGTGCTTCGAGATGCTTAGCACCTGGTGGAGGAGGCAGGAAAGTGACACACAAGCAAAGGAGACATTGGAAAAGGCTGCAGTGAACGTTTCCTCGAACATATCAGGTGAACTCAGTACGAATTATCAAGAACATTTTGGTAAAATGTACAAGGCTTTCTGTTTATTAGAAACGAGTTCGTTGAAAAAAAGTCATATTTTCTCAATGTCGCGTCCTGTATGCCGATAGGCCTACGACATCCCTTTTAATTTTCACCAGGTGAAATGGGAAAAGAGCTAGTCAAGAGGATAATGGCATGATAAATTGTATGGATAAACTAAACAGACCCTTTGCATAGCAGCCATCTTAGTGGTGTACTAATTTCTTCCTTAGCAATGCGTAGGGATCCGCCACTCAATCCATATGCTTTACTATTCGCCCATTATATGACACACAAAACAAGATGTTGTCGTGCAAAGGGTCCGTACAAGGTAGCTTGCTGATAAGTAAAACATTACTGGTCTCTCATCGTTTACTCGAAGACACATTTCTAATTTTCTGATTGGCATACTCTTTCTGGGGGTGTGCCCCAAGGTACTAAACTCGGACCTGTTGTATTCCTTGCCTATATTAATAACGCCGTTGACTGTACTCAGAATAAATGCTGGAAATATGTAGATGATCTCACTCTCAGCGAAAATAGACACATTACTGGTGTAAGCAGGTTTCAGGCAGATTTAAACAATCTCAATGACTGGGCATTGGCAAACAAAATCCAATTGAACTCTTCTAAATGTAACACCATGCAGGTGTACTGTGGGAAAAAAAGATCCTCCCTTCGTTCAATATTCCATTTCTAATGTTCATCTTCAACAGGTTCCCAGTGTGAAGTTGTTAGGTGTTACATTGCAAAACAACTTAAAATGGGATGCCCATGTCATGGAGATTGTTAAAAAAGCCAACATGAAACATTTCAGGCTTAGGAAACTCAAAATGACAGGGTTAACTGACAAAGAGCTTGTGACCGTGTATAAAGGTTATATTAGGCCTGTTATAGAATATGCTGCCCCATTGTGGCACTCGGGCATCACCACAACTCTTTCTAATCTATTGGAATCAGTACAAAGAAGAGTGTGCCACATTATATTGGGTCAAAAATATACTGGATATGAACAAGCTTTGACCAGTTTTGGTTTGGAACCCTTGGACATGCGCAGAACCTCCCTTTGTAACAAATTTGCAATGAAATCCTTTAACTCAAGCAAATTCAATGAGTGGTTTGTCAAATCTAAAAGCACCCATACTATGAATCTCCGGTCCAAAAGAACACTTCATGTTTCATCTTGTAAAACAACCCGTTTTTATAATAGCCCAGTCCCATATCTCAACAGACTTGTTAATAGCGCACTCAGTTCACTCCCACCAGCCCAATGAAATTACCGGTTCTTTTTAGCATATTACATGTATTGTTTTCCTGTGCAATTTTTGATATGTATACTATATTTTTTGTACTTACAATTTTCCTTTGTTTTTACCGTTTACTCTTTGTGATTTTAACCTCATCTAATTTTTATTGAAATTTGTATGTAAACTGACTTGTAATTCAGCCTGTGGGCTGCTATAAGCAGTGTTTTAATAAACCACAAATAATAATAATAATAATAATAATAACTGATGTTGCCTCTTTTCTTTCAACAGACAAGATGGGAGGAGCGCAATCCAGTCCGAGTGATGCTGCGAGTCAGTGCAGGAGTGAATTAAAAAACCGGTATACTACCACAGGCACCTACTTGCAATTTCTATCCTTGGGGGATGACGACATGAAACATATTGGGGACGTATATAAAAATTTTGGATTAGAAAAGGGTGACCATGATTTTGTTGAAGGGGAAGTACAAGAGTATTGGAATTTTTCCTCATAAAAGGAAATGACGGGAATGTGATTAAACGCATCATTTTGTGTGGGTCAGCTGGGATGGGGAAGACAACCATCATTGACAAAATTGCATACGACTGGGCTGTTGGTTCCGTGGCACTCGGGCACTTTACGCTTCTGTTCGTTTTGCAGATGTCCGCTCTCAATCAAACGTCGGACCTTGTTGATTCAGTGTTTGATCAGCTTTTATCAGACGACACAAAAGTTAACAAGTGTGATCTGGAAGCATTCATTAAAAACAATGGCAGTAGTGTGCTCATTCTCGTAGATGGTTTAGATGAATTCAGGACAACTAATCTCGACCAAGAGAAATATGGTCCCATCCTAAGAATGCTCAATCAAAAAGTTTGCAGAGAGTGTTTTGTAATCGTAACAACACGCCCGTCTCAATTTGCTATATTGAAAAGTAACTCACTCCTTACCACATCTTTCATACATGTGAAGCTTTTGGGATTTAGTAAGAAAGATATTGAAAAATATGCGAGAAATGTTTTCACTGCAAGGCGTGATATGGCTGAGGGACTTCTTGATAGGATTCAGTCATCGAATGTTCTGTCCGATTTGGCAAGAAGCCCGATGTTACTTCTGCTCATGTGCATATTCTGGAGGGAAAATGCAACACTACCCGATACTTTATCAAGATTGTTCAGTGAGGCTATTAGACACGTATTCCGAACAAAGATGCCCGAATTATCAGAAGAAGCAATATCGGAAGTGGTGATTGCAATTGGCAAAGTTGCCTTAGAAGGGCTTGTTTCCCCAGAGCAAAGGCTTTCATTTCAAGAGGGAGAGTTTGAGAAGAGTACACTTGATAAAGCAATACAAGCGGGTATTCTCACTAGCCAGAGGGTCACGAAGGGGCTTGACACGCTGCAGTTCACCCATAAGACACTTCAAGAGTACTGCGCAGCTATGTACTGTCAGAGCCTTTTAAGCAAAGGCGGTGGGGAATTCCAGACGATTCTGGCTAAAATTGGCCATCCTTGGAATTTTGAGTACATGTTGCGCTTTTGCTGCAGCGACAATCAGCAATGTACGAGGCACATATTAGGGATGCTGCATAAAAAGGCTATCGATCCGACAGTGAAGGAATTGGCATTGAATTGCTACTTTGAAAGTCAGTCAAGAGATTTGTTATCAGTGGATTTCATTGAGTCGTTTTTCATTGAATCTATGATGATAAGTGAGTTTAGCAACTACTCACTGAACTCGCTCGTGTGGTTTCTGAAGCATGTTGCCGAGCACACAGAGCCGGTAGGTCACCTCGCTAAAGTACGTAGCATTACATTTATTGACTGTGACCTGTCAAGTTCGAGTGAAATCCTAGCCTTGGGATTGACTTCGATGAAAAATCTGCGCGACTTACATTCCCAAGGAATTAATTTGAGCGATTCAGCCAAAGATTGGGCGTTCCAGTTGGGAGGGATACAATTTCTTGAAGCACTTCGGTTAGGGACACGGGCGGCTAGTTCGCATTCAGTGATTCCCCTAAAGAAGCTCACTCTGAGATATTCTAACATTGACAGTCCCGATTTGAAATATATCGTCAAATCAGTGAGCAGCATGGGGAATCTGGTGGATTGTGAATTCGGTCGTGTCCCCAAGGTGTTGCGTGTCCAGCCATTCGATAATGGCATACGACTGAGCATTTCAAAGTTTTCACTAACCGGCGGGGATATGGCGGACATTTTACGGCCATTCAGTAATCGGAGTGATTTAGTCAGTTTGATCCTTCGAGATATTGATGGTCTGGGTGGTTCGGCAGATATATGGATCCCGATCTTACAACACCTAACGCACCTGAAGGAGTTAAGATTAACCAATTGCCCACTGCAGAGCACTGACATTGAACACCTTGCTGCCGCAGTGAGTCAAATGTTCCCCGTACAATCCCTTAGCTTTGAGGGGAATCGTTCCTCGAGAGGCTCTGCAAAAGCATTGGCTCCCAGTTTCAAATAAACAGAGCACAGTTGAAGCCTGAAAGTGGGTGGATGCTCATTGACAAAAGAATATAAGTATCACAGGGAAACGGAGTTAACTTTTTTAATATGACTGCATTTACACTTTCCTGATATGTTATATGATGCGCATGCCCAAGTCTCCAAGTCCTGTTGGTTCAAATTAGTTCCCGAGTCATTCGTCATCTGGTTAAGGTCAAATTCGGATGTGAGTTGGAAATGTTTCTCAAATATTATTAATTCTTATTAAATCACATAGCAGCTCGAATTAAAAAAAAAAATCTGTGAAGGACAAAATCCACTAATGTTTCAAGATAATTTAATGAAGCCCGTGATCCACGGATGAAGGGTTTGTCGGATGCGAAATGTTTGGATTAGTTGTTTGTGGACACAAAGTGGTGGAATTTCTGTTGAAAATTTAAAAGACTCATAAAACGTAATCATATATGGAAATACATATGGGCAATTCCACAGTTACTCACGTTACATTTTTGATGTACTTGTGACTTTCCTTGGGCTGCAATTACCTTACCGAAAAGGTTTAATAACTGTTATCCCCATGGTAGATAGAGTAGACATAGACCTACCTAAGCACCAAAGATGACATCCAGAAAAATGTGTTATGTATGATAAACAAGACGCACAAAATCGGTATTAAACCGTGGAATTGCCCATGTATATTATGTGCAGCTTTTGCAAGAGTTCATCTGTCTAAGCACATGTCATACAGGTACATAGAGGGCACATTACCACACTCCAGAAATATCCAGAAAAGTGGACCTCTGATAATTCTTGGGAAGGGGATCGTAAAGCATTTTTTGCTCTGCTTTGTATACAGATCGAATATGTTGTACCCGCCTGATTGATTTGGAAGCAATGAATATCCAAAAGCGCATCGGCATTGTGACAATTTCATACCAGTGTAGTTGAGAGTTTGTCCTATACAGGTTCAGTGTAAAATTGACATCGTAAAAGAATCGAGGACAACTGAGCATCAGTTCTGTTGCTTGCCAGAAATGTGAATCGTGAGATTTAACTTAATATATCTTCCAAACATATTTAAAACGACTGAGGTTAAAGGACTTAATTTCATACACTATCTTGAACAACATGAAATTAAGCAATTACAATTATACAGCAAATTTAATATATTAGGTGAAGATAAAGGGATTAAACTTTACAAGATACAGAAGCGGCAAAAAGAGACTGCGGCTGCTTGAATAGGTAAAACCTTGTTGATGAACAGCCTAAAAGAAATACTTTCAGTTTAACAAATGTATCTCAAATCACCGGGTTATATTGCCGTTGAATTATTGGTATTGTAGGCTCTGTAAAGATTTTGCTCAATATGGAATATACGAGAATATTATCCGTGGAGCAATGACAGTTTGCCATGTATACAGAAAGCTCAGGATTGTCCTGAAAATTGTTTATGCTGTTTATCAGTTGAACATATATTTGATTAACCAAACTTTGTATGAGAATCAAACTGATATTTGATAGTGTACGTGTTAAGCCTTGTATATTGACCACACGAGCATATTTTTACTGTAAATGTTTGAATGCGAATGATTACAACTTACCGAGAAATGTCTCTTGGATACCATTCAAAATGTGTACTTGTTTTGTTTGACAGAGACCACGTGATAAACAAGGTCGGCCTTCATTGTATTATCAGTCAACTCTTATAGACAGTATACCCACCTTGTAGCGAGACTTTTAGCCAGTCTTTTTGATGCAGAAATTTCGAATGTTATGAACACTTCATACGTTATATAACACAATACAGCCGTAGATATTTAATATTGCTGAACAAAATTTGTTTCTGAAACATTCACTGTTACAGTTTTACATTTATTATTGCTTTTGTGTGTTATTATGTCACATGCGATGGTTCGTTTTCACTTCCGAACAAAATTTTCAGTCAGATTTTGTTTGGTTGAAGTTGTTTTAATTAATTGATATTGAAAAGAAGCTAACCATGATTTTCTAAGCTGTTACAATTGATGATGTTCGCACAAAGATTGCAAGAGAGCTGTGTTGGGGTTGAAACTTATGTTGATTGAAATACAAATAATATGGTGTGAATATATTTCGCAATCGTTCAGAAAGCCCTGCTACTTTTACACGTACTGAACATGATATTGTATTTTTCGTAATTACATTATGTGGTCAATTTATAAAAACGATCATATTTTCATTGGTAGAGGGAGTTCGTGATCTATGTTTTTTAATCAATCACTGTTCGCTTTGAAGCATGTTTTGTGAGTGTTACATGAATTCCATCTATATTCAAAAGTTATCAAGGAGATATCAATGATGATGGGGATGATGATGGGGATGATGATGATGATGACCACGTGAAAGTTGAGTCATGAGTGGAGAGTCTGTATATCATCCTATTTTAAGTGGGGCACTGAGATCTTTTCGTGAATACCAAATTAAGCGCCCCACTTAAGTAAGCAGTCTAGCTTAAGTGTTCTCTTAAGTTTAAGTTTTTGAATACGGCCCCTGTAGATCATCCAAAAACGCTTAGCAAGGTTAGATGTTATGATGCATGGGGAACATTTCTGAATGTTATATCTATGAATTACTGGGTTTATTGAGTTGGAGTACATAATGACGTATAGACAAGAACACAATGAAAATGTATACTTTAAATGGGTCTGACATTGTGGGAACATTGTTTCATTTGTCCCTTTGTATCAGACGCGAAAAGCAAAGTGGAAAAGCGGTCAATACGGTTTACTGAAAATCATCAAGACTGTAGTTGATTTTTATTTGATTAGAAATCTGAGGGTCTTTGCCACGCCGAGTTGCTTATCTCCCGAGAATCTGGGAGTTATTGTCACAACAGGTTTCATTATGTTTTAATCATTTGACGGACATATGTTTTAGTAACGAAATAAAGTTTTAATATACTGCACTTACGTTTTGTCATCTTCTTTATTTATATAGTATTTGGCTGTTGAAGTGAAGGTGTTCAAACCTTTTGTAGTAAAGTATTTTGCGTGTTCATTTCTGGTTATACTGATAAATGTTCAATCTTAATAATTTTTTTCGTAACCCTCAATCCATATCAAGAGTTTTGATTTACATCGTTTACATCAGAGCGGAAACTTGATTTAAAAGTTAAAATAAAAAGTTAAAAGTTAAAATACGCTGTTCATTACTGTGATTTATTGCTGTCCCCCAAAGTTTTTACTTATAAACGACAATAATTATACCGACTATGAGACCTGAGGGTAGCAGACCTGCAAATCGACTCCCATAGACCTCAGTGATAACTACGGGTACTTCCGAAAATTATTTAAAATATCACAACTCTTCAAGGTGTTTGAGACACCCAAGAATGTAATGCTTATTTCATAATCTTTCAATTCCATCCAAATTCGATCAACCTAAAAGGTAGTCCTTTGGCCCATCGCCGTTTTGAAAAATGATGCCTGCGCTCCTTTGCAAAATGGTAAAAATTTCAGGACCCAATTTCATGCGAATTTCACAGAAATACGAAATAGTTTCTGCACGGCTTCCACCAATATTTTTATTGTTCAAACCTTCACGTTCATGGCCCACAAAATGTATTTTTTTAGAGCATACAAATTGTGATTTGGCCTGGAGGGGCAAATCTGGACCTATATATACAGGCATGCAACCTATCCTCAGATCAGCTGATTTCCTCTTTTTTGACCTCCCATGTGTGCCATTAAAAATAGAGAAACACTGTACAAAGTCTTGAAAAGATTTAAATTTCCTCTTTTTTGGGGACTTTCCAGTTGCATGCCTGTATATAGGTCTGCACTCTTGAGCTACGTCTGTGCCATAATCAATGTCATTGACTCTGTTTGACCGCTGCGGTAACGGGGTGACAGGTATAGACTGGTTCCCGCTCCGTTGAAGGTCAAAATCGACAAAGGAGAGCATGGGAACCAGTCTAGTTGAAAGGCGGGCATACACACGAGTGACGTTGCCCCTATTGTTAAACGACATTAGCATTACAATTGAATTCTAACATCGGTATGCGGAAGTGTTCAACTTGGCCGTTGCACTTGCGGTATATACGTCTACGATTTCGTGATTTTTCCCGTGCCTTTTTCTTCCCTTCTTCGATCTGTGGGCAGTCTTGATAATGTGTTTCTTCTGAATAAAGTTATTCGGATGAAGTCAACTCACCACGTCTGGTAGAGGTAGAATGGAGATGGAACTTTGCAAGACATGACGAGGATTTGTCGTTACACAGTGAAGGGTGCAGTTTTGCCGTGAACCTGGCCGAAAGAGAGATAACAGGTAAAGGTTTTAAACAGGGGCATATCAGCTCCGGGGGGGGGGGGGGGAGGGGATGAGAGAAACACTGTGTTTTTAAGTGATTTCTAAAAATAATTACTCCGATATCTCCAAGTTTACAGTGCTTATGAAATAACAGCAGTAAAAAGGCAAAACCAAGGTTGTGTTGAATTTTATGAATTAGTTGCCGTTTGAATGATAATATAATGGGTTCTTGTATAGCGCTTTTAACTAAGATTAAAGCGTTTTACATCATTATTACCTCTGATCATTGGGCCAATTAAACGTACCAAATACCATCACATCTCCCTGGGGAGTATTCAGCTCGATGCAGCCATGTTGGCACAAGGCAGCTACAATCAATTGCAATAACCATCTCCACCCTAACACTTGTAACAGGTTGCCATTTACTCCTGGGTGGGGAGAAGCAATGAGTGACAAAATGCCTTGCCCAAGGGCACACGCACCATAACCCCAGGCTGGACTTGAACCCACAACCTGCCGAATAAACTGCAGACCACGAATTCCATGCCCCAGACCAATGTGCATGAATATGAAATGTGCATGAATATGGAAATTCAAACTTGTGTTAAATATCACTTTATTTGCACATTAGTTTCGACTTGCCTGGTTTATGCCCTGAAGTGACATCACAGTAACGGCGCCCTCAATTGGCAGGTCCAGCATGAAGCATTTTGAATGTCAAAACAAATGTAC